CTGCATTGGCAAAAGTGAAGTCGTTCTTTTATGCGCATAATATTAGTGAACGTGACGAAGAAAACATTTTGAACGTGGAAAGGGCTCTGTTTGGCCTAAAACGTAAAGTTTCGACAAACCAGTTGTCCATTAAAGACTTTTTTGGTAAAAAGAAGTAACTTTGAAAGAGAAACATTGTTTTTTTTTTTTTTTTAAATTTTTAATGCTTTCCCGCATCTATCGTTTTCCCGCATTCATCGTTTTTATTTCCCACCCCCGCCGAAAACGATGCATCGAGGTTTCACTGTATTAACAATTCTGTTTCAGCTATAATCACATATCACTAGGCAAGGAAAGCAAGTTAACTTACTTATATGCATTAGCATGTAAATAAAGATTACTAACACAGGGATCATTTGCTTGTCTGCTAACATCCTCTCTTTATACATAACTTTCATACTTTACATCTGAGTATTTTAATTTGCAATTTTACTATAAGAGAGGTGAAGAGAAAATATTACGACTAAAAATGGACCTTCCTAAATTCCCCTTCAAATAACCATATTCATAAACTTACTTGATCATATTTACGATTAATAAGCGCCAACTTGAACTTGAATTCTGTAGGATCAATATTAAGAATGCGTGGCTTGCACTCACGGTCCAGACAAAAAACCTGGTTGCCCTTCACACGAGTGATGTAAATTGGAAGGTCCAGTGTGCGAATTATTCCATGATCCCTGTAAACAAATATGAAGACATCATGAATCTATTCCTACATGGAATTTACAAACTTACAAACAAGTGGTGGGGTGTATGCTGCATTGTGAAACATTGTCTTCTACCTAACGAACACATGCAGAAGTCCAATGGTTTGCACATGAATCAATACCATTCAAATGAATAATGGCAGAAGACGGTGCATGCCGTATGAATTTCTATGTCTACGTTCTCTTTTTCTTTCTCATTTTAACAGTCATCACCAGCAGACATCATGGAACTACTCCACTCAAAATTGCACTTCATGAGACAGCAGGCAATATGCAACTGCACATTCAGTGTGATTGGCTGTCACAAAATTTCCAAGACCAATGTCTTTTGAACTTACATTTTTTAAAATCTGATTGGAACTTCAGAGAAAATTAATTAAAAAACTTTGATGCAACTTATAAATAAAAATTTATGTTTTTCTATTAAAAAACAGGTGCACCTTACATATACACTAGCTTATAATTTCACAAATACAATAAGAAACACATACTTACCCATTGGAGATAGCATATTTGATGTGATTGCTTGTAGTGTAAATAAACACTCCACTATCATCCCAAGCTCCGGACTTCACGCGTGTATTCTCATGAATTGAGCAGAGTGATTCAAGCCGACGATTGCAGATGTTAACAGTATGTTTAGCCAACAGAGCCACGTGAGTCATGTCAGATGACCACACAACATATCGACATTTGGAAATCTTCACCTGTGCCAGAGTTCTAAACAAAGACATGATTTAATAGAATGACTGACACTGCCAATAGCAGTACTTGGATCCACTAGCAGGTACAATATATGAAAACATGAGATGACTAGAATACTTTAATTTCAGTTCTAAACAACACTGACAAACTTTCATATACAATGAAACCTCAATATAATGTACCCAGAAAAAGCTGTGGATTCGGATATACCACGGCTTTCATTGTGTCCGCATTACAATTGCACATGTTTTACGTCATGCTTGTGATGTGGGTAGTGAAGCTGTCCCCTGACATCCAGATTAAATCAAGGTTCCACTGTATGTGTGAACTCTTGTCAGTTAAACCTTGTTATTGTGATTAGTAAATCCAGAAAATGTTAGTTTGTCATTGCCTTGCTTCAGTCGTATACATTGATTGTTAATAGCCTTATGAAGTTAATACATTCTGGCTAGGAAGTGCAGTAAAATAGATTCTTCACTACATGGTTTTTAATATTATATAACCATGACATTAATAACTGTCAGACTGATGCTGTTCTGTGAGCTGCAGGTGTTACTGAATGACGTTACACAAAATACTAAGAAAAGTTGTATTATAGAATGGTTACTAATCATATTCCCACTTTATAAAACCAGAACGATACCAATTTATCTCATTTTGATATCACAACTTAGGAAGGCTAGTCCTGGAATTGAACTTGGACTGCAATGTCACAGCACTCAACTCATAATAAGAATGCAGAGTATGGAAACTGGAAGACACCTACAAAAATACAGATAATTTAAGATATGTTCCAGATGTAAAATGGGTACATAAAACAATGAAACAGTGTAACTCACCTCTTCTGCTGAACATCAAACAAGGTTACACCATCAGAATCTCTCAGCAGCAACATTCCAGTTCCAGCATAGAAAATTTCATCACAGTTTGGAGTCTGAACTTTCTTAGTCACCTCATTTTTCAGATTTTTTATCATCAACTGAAAATGTGAATAAATAATATATTATCAGTATTTAAACATGTATCTCAAATTCTCGTATTTGGCAACAGTATATTTTTGTGGTTATACTTTCAATAAATACAATATAATGTTTCATATTTTATGAACAATGAAGCTTTAATAACTCATAATGCTTAACTGAGAACAAGAATGACTTTATCTTTTATATATCAAATTTCTAATAAAAAAAGATGAAAAGTGTATGAAGTGTAAAGTACACACAATTTTCAAATTTGTTTCTTATGATTTTGCATATCTTTGTGGCATCAATTTTGTTTATTATATAGTAGATAAAATCTACTGTTGCAAAGGCAATAAGTCACATCACAGATAGAACAATGCCTGAAGACAGGAACAACTTTTCCTTGTATTTTGTCAAGCATCATCCTATCAAAAGCATGTTTAAAATAAAAGTTATATACCTTAATGATGTCTGTCATGTAGTAACTTACTAAATGATGATACATTTTTTCACAAAATTAATACATACATACATACATCTTTATTGCATTCCATGGATCCATAAGATAGTCAGATGACATTAGGATATGTAAAAAGTCATAATAATAATACATTACATATTATAAAGTACAATTCATTCTATTATACAAATTTCACATAATACAAAGGATTCACCTAAATTAATGATAAGTTACGAATAAATCTACCCATTACATAAAGAAGATAAATTATCGCTTATTTGTAAACAATAGAGATATTCATCCAAGTTTAATGCAAAGAAGGGATTGAATTAATCCAATATGGACCAAAATTAAATTCCACTGATAACTTTTGGTACAAACGGCCAACATCAAACCTCAGTAAAATCCAGTACGTAGTCTTAGAGAAGTAATATTCCAACCCATTATGCAATTCTGTGCAATAAAAATGCATAAACTATATATCATACCGAGTGTGTGCGGTCCAGAACTGCAAAGCGATTCCTTGCTACCCATATGGCAGTGACACCTGATGCACGCTTGCTTTCTGGGGATTCAGGATTCTGACTATCTGAATCCTTGGGAATGCTATACAAGTCATATGCACTGTTCTCCACATTGCTGGTTCTTATACACAGCAGAACAGAATTCTCTGCTGGATTGTATGACATGCTGCAACATACACAATTCATTATTGCTAAGATATTTCAAAACAGTCTTCATAATGTCAATTATTATTAATAATGCAGCCCTTAATCAATTTTTATTATGACATGACATAATTATGAAATATATTAATACCTGTGCACAGGAGTGCGTCCACCACCTCTAAGCTGCATCACAGCTGTATCTTTGGATGTGGTAAAATCTAGTTTGCGGAGGAATCGATCTTTCACATAGTAGAGTATGTTTCCATGCACGGCATAAGCTGGACGTTCCCTCTCCAACTGTGTAAAAAATGCATCTCTTATAAATGTAACTTAATAATAATTAAATAATTCCATGTAAAAGACTCTTCAATACTAAAGTACTACTTCCACCTAAGAATTTCATATGGCTGTAACTGACAAGTAAATAATACAAAATATCAAAGGTAAAT